TACACACACACACACACACACACACACACCACACACACACACACACACCACCTCTTTCTTGAAGCGCACATCAACCAAATAACTGCTGCAGCATATGGGCGCCTAGCAAACCTCAGAACAGCATTCCGACATCTTAATAAGGAATCCAGGACCCTGTACACTGTGTACGTTAGACCCATATTGGGCCTAACGAGGGGAGGTTTAGGGAAATCAACCTGACGACACTGGAGGACAGGAGAGATATGGGGGACATGATAACGACATACAAAATACTGAGAGGAATTGACAAAATGGACAAAGACAGGATGTTCCAGAGATGGGACACAGCAACAAAGGGACACAGTTGGAAGTTGAAGACACAGATGAATCACAGGAATGTTAGGAAGTATTTCTTCAGCCACAGAGTAGTCAGGAAGTGGAATAGTTTAGGAAGCGATGTAGTGGAGGCAGGATCCATACACAACTTTAAGAAGAGGTATGATAAAGCTGACGGTTCAGGGAGAGCGACCTAGTAGCGAGCAGTGAAGAGGCGGGGCCAGGAGCTTGGACTCGACCCCTGCAACCTCAACTAGGTGAGTACAACTAGGTGAGCACAGCACGGATTCATAGAAGGCAAATCCTGTGTCACAAACCTTCTGGAATTTTATGACAAAGCAACAGAAGTAAGACAAGAGAGAGAGAGGTGGGTTGATTGCATCTTCTTGGACTGCAGGAAGGCCTTTGACACAGTTCCTCACAAGAGATTAGTGCAGAAGCTAGAGGATCAGGCACGTATAACAGGAAGGGCACTGCAATGGATCAGAGAATACCTGACAGGGAGGCAACAAGAATGTCGTGGTACGTGATGAGGTATCACAGTGTGCGCTTGTGACGAGCGGGGTCCCACAGGGGGTCAGTCCTAGGACCAATACTATTTTTGGTATATGTGATGGAAGGGATAGACTCAGAAGTGTCCCTGTTCGCAGATGATGTAAATTAATGAGGAGAATTAAATCAGATGAGGACCAGGCAGGACTTTAAATAGACCTGGACAGACTGGACACGTGGTCCAGCAACTGGCTTCTCGAATCTAACCCTGCCAAATGCAAAGTCATGAAGATCAGGGAAGGGCAAAGAAGACCGCAGACGGAGTATAGGCTAGGTGGTCAAAGACTGCAAACCTCGCTCAAGGAGAAAGATCTTGGGGTGAGCATAACACATCAACTAGAAAACTGCTGCAGCATAAGGGGTTTGGCAAACCTGAGAATAGCGTTCTGATGCCTTAGTAAGGAATCGTTCAAGACACTGTACACCGTGTACGTCAGGACCATACTGGAGTATGCAGCACCTGTTTGAAACCCACACCTACTCAAGTACGTCAAGAAATTAGAGAAAGTGCAAAGGTTTGCGACAAGATTAGTTCCAGAGCTAAGGGAAATGTCCTACGAAGAAAGATTAAGGGAAAACGGCCTAACGACACTGGAGGACAGGAGGGTTAGGGGAGACATGATAACGACATACAAAATATTGCGTGGAATAGACAAGGTGGACAGAGACAAGATGTCCCAAAGAGAGGACACAGAAACAAGGGATCAACTGGTAAACAGCACACTCCAGTCAATCATCTCGGCTCTCGTGAATGAGTTAACACAAAAAAGACACGACTTTATTAGCTGTTGTGAAAAAAATGGCTCCTCCTTAATGCATGCAAGAAAATGTTAAATTAGAGAAAAATTAAAATAATGGGAAGAGGAGTGTGAAGGCAATACGTGGCATTATCTAAATACGATAATAGGCTACAGAACAAACAGAATGTGGAAGGAGAAAGTTCACCTCCAGAAGAAAATTGTGGAAAAGTGCAATAAATCAATAACAGATGTCGCACAATAGAAAAAAAAATAACATAATGAAGAAGGAATCCAAAGATTGGATGAGGAAATCAAACACTTGAAGACCATGGGAAAAATGAGGGATGTGCAGAAGGGGCAGTAACAATGAAAGATTAACTAGAAGCAGAGGGATCCAGGAAGAGCATCAAGGAAAGTCACTAGCAGAGATGCTCTTTGAGGATGAGAAGACAAAGGAGTTGATAAGACACACTGGAAGGGAACTGGTGAAAACTAAGTAAGGTGGAGAGAAAGGCAACAGGAGAAAAAAAAGGAGGTCAATGATGATCTGATCTATGAACTTCAAGAAGCTAATGTTGGATCAGTAAGTAGGAGACATGAGGATAAGAAACGGGAGATAACAGTGGTTATTGTGTGTATAGGAGGAGAGAACGAGATAGACCAATTGGAACGTTTTCAAAGAATCGGGAGGTTCTCCCAAAGCAAATACCACCTGATCAAACAAACCTTCTGGTCACACATAGCTTGAAACAGGATCCTGAGACAGAAAACATGACTGAGGAACACACGCTATCATTAGTATACCTGGATTATGACAGTATGAAAACAAAGAGAGGGAACAGCTGAGGAAGTATGTAAAAAAGCTATTGGATATAAGAAACAGAAGTAACAGTAGCAAATAGGGGAGACAGGAGGGAACACCCAGCCTCAATGATCTTCTCAAGGTGCATCCACTGTACCTCTCCGAGAAGGCCTGCCCCCACTTTCCCATCACTAGCATGTACCCCTCGCCCTTTTTCATTAACCTGACAGGGCTTTAACCAAGCCCTATCTCCTCCACTCCTGATAGATGTGCAACAAGCAAAATGAATATATAACACAAACCAGGGCATCTTAAAGGGCAGAATGTACTGAGTGTGGTACACCAACACAGATGAATTATCAAAAAATATTATGAATTGAAAGAACGAATAACAAAGATAATCCCAGGGATAATAGCTTTCACAAAGACTAGACTACGAGAAATAACAGGATTTCAAGTAATAATGAAAGATACAGGAAATAGGAAAACAGGAGTGACACTGCTAGAGGTAATGAAATCAGCAGAGCTTTGAAGAGATGAGGGGAATAACAAGGTATGAGTCAGAAGACTGTATAATGGGCACAGTCATGACTTTTGTAAGGTGAACCACAACTCATCATCAAAGTGTAGATAACAGAAACAGGAAAAATGAAGACTTCAACAAAGCAATGAATGACACCACAGCAGAAGCAGCCGGGAGAGCTCATATGGGTAAAGCTTAGCAGCTAATAATAAGTGAATTCTAGCAAAAAAATAAATTGATTGAAAGACCTGGGACACACGTGGAGAACCGGAAGTGCGGTGGACTAAAATGATGGGGGTGGTTAGGAAAAAAATTTATTTGCGAGTTAGTGACATAACAAGTGAGAGAGATCATCCAGCAAGACTGGATCCAGTATTTATTGCAAGTACATCTGACATACGAGAAGTAGAGCTCGACATCCCCCTGGGTGCTACCAACTATACATTACTGAATTTCAAGTTGCTTGTGGAACTAAACACTGAGGTAAGGTGGAAGGCACAGTGAACCAGGCTTCAGTAGAGGAAACTTTGAAGAAATAACTCCCTAATACGGTGCAGTGGGGAAGGGAAATGAAAGGAAAGTCAACTAATGAGACTATTGGCTGCCTAACCGGAAAGTCTGGGGAGGCACTCTCATAATAGAAGGGAAATGACAAAAACACAGTACTTGGTTTAGTTCAGGAGTTCCAAACCAAGACTAAATTACCATCAGTAGGGTAACTGATCTTATCTGTGGGGTAAAATTTAATATACTATTAAAAAATATAATGTTAAAAATACACATATTAGTCATGATCTGTGGGATTGACTAAAGAGAGCATTGTTGGTGTTGCGAGGGTAACACATCCTTTGTGTTCTTTAAGTCTGTCACAAAGAGACATCACAGCCATCCTAATAATGGGTCCCCTGCTTAAACTACCTACCCTTCTTCTTGCCTTCAAATGAACTGCTTTGCTGAAATATCTCTTATAACATCCTAACATGAATTTTAGTTCTGGTTTTGTTCTTGTAGATGCCTTCCTTTCCTGTTATGTTGTTAAATGCACTTAAACTTCAAAACACTCGTGACTTGATCTAACCTTTGCCTCCTCCTATCTTTCCATTTCATATGTTTTCAATATTATCTTTATCTTTGCCTTTCTTGTCTTCTTCATTGGTGGGTACTGTCCTGGGATTTTTTCGTAGTGTTTTTGCCATTTTTACCACCACTGATAAAGTTCTCTATCTCCATAGATGCTTCAGTGCACCAAATACCTTTTTTTCTCTTTGTCATTTCTATGATTCACCTCTATCATAGACACATCTACCAACAAATCCACCGCTAAATAACCAAACACATTTACTCCCTCCCTCCAATCTGATATCCAATCTTTAATTACCAACATGCTTTGTTAGTTTAACCACCTTGTTCTTTATGTTCACTGTTAATTTCCTTCTTTTACATACTATCCTAAATTTGTCTAACAACCTTCTCAATTTCTCTACAGAATCTCCTAAAAGTACTTCATCATCAGCAAAAACCAAATATGAAAATGCCCACTTTGAATCGGATTCATTAACTTTTAATACCACACTTCTCCCCAACACCCTACTAATCACTTCTTTCAGAATCCTATCTATAAATATTGTAAAGAAACTGGTTAGATATCATAAGTAATTTTTGTGTCTTTAGTCAGATATTTTAGTTCTCATGTTCTCTCTCGAGAGAGGAACTGTATGTTACGTCATCAGGTGAGGGAATTCTCTTAATTTATATGTCGTCATCTGCCGTCTTTAATCTTTTATTTTAGTGCTTTCTCTTTTATTCTTGTCACTTTTTCTTTCCTCTGGGGAAGCGAGTTACGTCACTTCACCTTCACCCTCCCAGCAGTCCACATATGCATTATTCTTACTATGTTGGGATTTTTTTTTTGTATTGAAGGTTCCAAGTGGATTTCTTACTGTATTAATTGTATTATGCCTTGGCCTTCAACTATATGTATTTTAATATTTCGTTTTCTGACAGTCCTACCTTCATGGAGACAACTGGACGGGAACGCGATTTTTTCAAAAATCTATTTTTTCTACAGATATGATTTCATCGTAGACTTTTTGAAAGGAATCTGAACCTATCTCTTCGGAGATGTTCAAGCATCTAAAACTTCCTCACAATTCATCACTTGCACGTGACAAGGAAGCATGTGAACGACCTTGGTGTCTCCACCTCCAGGTCAACCTTCGTAACTCATAACCTCGGTGCACTTGCCAAACTCCAGCTACATTTATTATATTGTCATTGTAATACTGACATACATGTTCTTCTTTATCTGGTTTATTTAATAAAAGTATTAGTTTTCCTTAAAAGTTATTTAAATACTCTCTTTTTAATTTTCACGAATAAGTTTTTCTATGTTTCCCACAGAGAAAAACAAGAGCTCTTTTTCCTGAGGAGTGGCGTCCTTGTAGCCAGGATTTAAAGACTTCTTTAAAGCTAACTCAAGCGACCACAGAGGACTAGAGTTGAAAGTCAGGCTAAATAACACATATCAGAAACTCAACAATTTCCTCTATGCGCAGCTTCATTTTCGTTGTTGCTGGTCCAGAGGAGGATGCTGGCGTGATGCTGTAAGTGCCGCCCAGAGGAGGATGCTGGCGTGATGCTGTAAGTGCCGCCCAGAGGAGGATGCTGGCGTGATGCTGTAAGCGCCGCCCAGAGGAGGATGCTGGCGTGATGCTGTAAGCGCCGCCCAGAGGAGGATGCGGGCGTGATGCTTTTAAGCGCCGCCTTGGCTATTACTTCTGTTTTTACCGAGCCCAAAGAAATCCTGCTAAACGGGTTTACAGGCATGCAAAAAAAAAATCTTCCCAGATCACAATACTCAGTTCATCAACAATCTGGAAAGATTGCAGAAACTTTTTTTTTACAAATCTAACAGCATTACAATAAAACTATAATTAATTTTGAATTTCAAAACTGAAAAAATAATTATACAAAAACCCAATTTATAATAGGATTGAAAGGGGAAAACACTTTCATCCGACTCACGAAAAAGTACTGACATGTTGCAACAAACCACGGAAGGGGTGGACTTGAACTCGGGGAAAGTGAGTCGAAAAACTCCAGGCCCCAGCCGTAAGCCACAAGACACTGACTACAATAAATTCTTTTAAATTTTATATTTATACCCAAGGGGGGTTAGCATGAAACCTTTTAAACCTCCTATGGTTATTGATTTTTCAGTAAAGGCATCCTCGAAAAATTTATCTCTTTTTTGGGGTCAAGACCCTGCGCATGCACATACTTCGATTATGTTTTGGGATCAAAGTGTATTGTACTTGATACTTTTATATTTCGTATAAAAATCGGGTGTTTTTTCCATTCTTGTTGACCCCACATTCCTGGTTTAAAAGAGGAATTTGTTGCAGAGATATAATGCTCATGGTGTGATTTTTCTCTGAGGACTTCTGGGATTATCTCCGCTATAACATTTTTTGGCCACTTCGTTCATTTTAATGTCATGGGTTTCACCAACAAGATATTTGGGTTGGGACGAATTGTATCGGGGGCTTGTAACAACCACAAAGAAAAGGGTTTTTGGTTTTCAGTCTTTACTCCAAAATTTCCAACTACATCATTTGTGGTTTTTTAACAATTCTGAGTAAAGACGACTCTGTGATTCAAGCCACCATTTTTACCTGTTGCCTGTTTTTCTGTACCTTACTTCGTTGTCAAAGTTATCCTTCGTATGACTCTGCGGGGAGTCTGCTGAAAAAAGGATTTTTTTGTTGGTTTGATGGTTTTAACCCAAAGGGGCCCCCAAATTTTTAAAGTTTATCGACTTTCCAGAAGGTTCAAATTGCTCTTTGACTCCAAAATATTACTAAATGAAAAGAATCTTTTAAAAAATATTAAGCTAATAGACTACGAAAAATAATAATAATAAAAAAAAATTGTTTAAATTGCTTTTGCATGGCTAAAACCAGCTTAAAACCATGCACAAAACCCCTTTTGACACTCACCATTTATGGGCCCCCTTGAATCCCATCGGCCCTGGGGTTTTCGATACTGCCCCAAACCTGAGGAACTCGCTTTATACCTTGTTACTTCAAAAAAACAAATTTTGACTGATTATTTTGTGGGGAGTTATTCTTTGGCACTAAAAAGTTTTTTTCTGGATGGGGGTCCACGTGTATCCCCCCAGTAAGGATCCGAGGTGGTGAAAAATTTTTTGCCAACCCTGCCAGGTTTTTTTTGTTTCCCCGGCAAAATAAAATTTATTGAGGGTTGAAAACTACCAGGGTTTGTTTTCCAAGTTTGTATCACACCTTCTGGTCCCTTTCAGGTGATGTACTCGCGCTTGGCGTACTTTGTTTTATGGATTGATGAATAACTTTTCAGAAGAAAATGACAAACTATTTTGGTCCGGCATTTTTTATGTCAAAATTGCATTCCTACATGTTTTCCTTAATTCGATACTAGAATCCCCCAGGCACGAATCACCACAAAGGATTTTTTTTGCATAGATATTTGGGCTGGTTTCCCAATTGATTTTTTCGACCCCCCACTGTCTTCGCACCGACCGCATCAGACCACCGTCAGTTTTTACGGTAATTTACCACACACCCGCATCTGTGACACGGGCCGCTGAAGTGCTTTTTTTGTTTTCCGGTCTTGTATTTTTTGGGTCTGTCCCTTTTCCTAAACCCGGGGCCACTGTCTTGTGTTTTCTGAATCAGATCCCTACGCACGGGGCGTCCTGGAGCACCGGGGCAGACACCACCACTGAACTATCTTACTTTCCCCTCTTAAAAACTTTTAAAATTTCTCCAAAAAAAACGACATTTTTTTTTTAGTTTTCCCTTTTTTTAGTACCATAAAATGCCCCACCATCCTGTTTTCCCAGTAGACCCAAAACAGTTTTTGTTTTAATAAATGCTGGTAAACGCAAAAAATACTTGCTCATAAAAACATGACACTACTCTTGGAAAACGTAACAAGTATTCTTTTTTATTCGCTGGGAGCAATGATAAAGTGGGGACGGGTTTTTCATTACATTTGATGTTTTTTTCAGTGTTGGGACAAAAAGTTTTATAATAACAGTTTCAACCATAAATTGGTGAAAAGATCTCCTGCTCGTACCTTTAAAAATTTGGGAAACAGTCTTTTTAATGGGACCTCTACAAACATCCCCTGCACCGTTTCAATGCAACTCAACCACTGTGCTTCGGGTGCTCTTTAAATACCTTGGTAGGTTAAGGGTTAAAAAATTTACTAAAAAACGTTTTTGACGGGCGGGGGTGGTATAATGCGATGCTGAAGTTATTTACATCCAGGTGAGGGGTTACAACCTATCACTACACTTCACTTTCATATTTTAACCACAAAAAGGGACTAAAATTTCACTAGTTGTACACTGGGGAGGCTAACTAGTGTAATGCTAAACATTTAAAAAATAATTAATGTATAAATTAAAATGTCAATTTTTGTATTCGTGCCCTAAACTTAATCTGCCTTTTACATGAACGTTAGACATACCGACAACTAAAAAAATTGGACACATGTGCAAAAATCTGATATCTTTATTGTAACGTTTCGCCATCCATGGCTTATCAGTACAAACCGGAAAAAATTGGAAGACAGCAAAATTATATACAGAAGATGAGGAATCACCCCCACCCTTGGGTTGGTGGAAGCACCGTGTCGTGAAGTTCGGAGCACAGGCAAAAAGGCTGGCGCTTATTCTGGCTTTAATGGAAGGGGACTCTAATAACCTTCTTCACGCTGCTGCTATACTACTACTACTACTACGACTACAACCCAACTACCAACACTACTACTACTACTACTACTACAAACTACTATTTCCCACTACTATTACCACTACACCACAACCCCACCCCTTGGGTAGGACCACTTTCACTGGGAATCCCACTCCCAAATGACTATGCCCGCCGATAACCTTTCCCCTTCCACTAAAGTCAGTAATAACGCCGTCTTTTTGTCTTATTCAAAATCTTCAAAATTTACGGTGCCTTCACACCAACTCCGGGTTGAGGATGACTCCTCATTTTTTGTATATATTCTCCATCTTCCGATTATGCCCCCTAAATTTTGTTTTTGAAAAAGCCACGGAGGGGGGAAACATCACGAAAGAACCCGTGTTTCACCTTTCTAATTTTTCATTAGGCTGCCTTTCCTCATAAAATGCATCACTCTCGTGATGCCTCCACCCCAAAAAAAATACAGTTTTGTTGTGTGTCTGCGCGGCTTGTAGCAGGTACGGGTGTAGTCACAGGACGATTTGGGAACACATGGGCCGTACCGTTACCCTTTCAGAACATTGTTACATTTTTTCACCAGAACGGAATGTCGACCCGCAGAGTGTTAAAACATGAAAATTGTTCACCAGCACCCAAGTGTCGACCTGAGAATAGTTACACTGAACATTTTTCACCAGCACCCCGGGAAAGGTCGACCCGCAGAGATAGTTTTCACATGAACTGTTTACCAGCACCCGGAAAAATGTCGACCTGCAAAAAGTTACACATGAACATTGTTTTACCCCACCCGGAAGTGGGAATATTTACGTCAGGTAATTTTACAGTCATGGTAGTATTAACGCCATGGGAGTTACAGCCATGGTAGTTTTAAACCATGGTAGGTTCAGTCAGGGGAGTATTAACAGCCAGGGGTATTAACCCAAGGTAGTTCAGCCAAGGTATTACAGGGCCCTGGTATTCGGTCAGGTAGTATAAAAGCCATGGTAATATTAACGACATGGGGGATACAGTCATGGGGTATTAAAAGCGATGGTATTTTCAGCCAGGTAAAATTTACAGTCATGGTATTTTAACAGCCAGGAGTTAGAGCCATGGTAATTAACAACGATGGTAGTTACGCCCTGGTTGTATTAAAAACCTGGTAGTTGCAGCCATATAGAATAACAGCTTAACAGCCATGGGGTTGCACCAGAAGAATTAAAAGCTTAACAGCCTGTAGTAATGAAAAGCCCTGGTAATATTTAAACCATTGTAGTATTACAGCCAGGAGTATTAACAGCTATGGTAGTACTTGCAGGGAATTTTAGTATTTATAACCATGGTAGTTTTTATACAGCCCTGGAGTTTACAGCCTGGGAAGTATCTATTAAAACCAAGGGAGTAAAAAACACCCCTGGAGAATTTACAGCCATGGTAGATTAGCAGATGGTAGTATTTACCTGGTATTGTAGCTTCTGGAGAGTACAAGTCGGAGTGGGATGCATGGGGGAGTAAAGGATGGGGGTGGAGTGCTCGGAGAGTACGTGGGAGTGCCTGGGGGAGTATAGGGTGGAGTGGGAGTGGTCGGGAGAGATAGAAAGGGGTGGGGGTGCTGGGGGAGAAAGGAGAGTGTGGGAGTGTCTGGGGGAGTACATGGGGGTGGGAGTGCTTGGGGAGTATGGGTGGGGGGTGGGAGTGCTCTGGGAGAGACAGGATGGGTGTGGGGGTGCCTGGGGGAGTACATGGAAGTGGGAGTGCTCTGGGAGAGTATAGGATGGGAGTAGGAGTGCTCTGGGAGAGTATAGGATACGAGTGGGAGTTCTCTGGGAGAGTACATGGAAGTGGGAGTGCTCGGGGAGTATAGGAAAAGGGAGTAGGGGTGCTCTGGGAGAGTATAGGTACGAGTGGGGGGTTCTCTGGGGGGAGTACATGGGAGTGAGAGTGCTCTGGGAAAGTACACGTACACGTAGAGTACATGTACCTGTGGAGGATCCAAAATA